CAGTGTAACTGATCAAACTTCAATTATTATCTTTAGTTTAAACATATTTATTCAACAATTATTATCTTGCACTCTGAAAATCAACTATGTGAATAAGTAACTCTCTGATGTCATCATTTTAATTTTAGTATTCTATGAATAATGAATAAATCAGATCCTTAACATATACATAGTATACTACGTTAACAGATCGTTATTATAACAGAAACAAACGTATGTTTTCCATATAAATCTAAAATGATATTAGATATTATTTGTTATTAATTGTCCGGTGAATTAAACAATTTAAATTGAAACAATTCATAATTCATCATATTATGAATACGTAAACTTGTAATGTGTGTGAAAAGTCGTACTAAAATAAGCTATTTGAAGGGGGCGTGGCCTAAATGCAAATGTCCGATTGGGATTTTAAATTTTCCGGACCCCTGATACATACTAAACATGGACATTAATCTTGTGCATTATGTGGTTTGTTTCCAAATATTAATAAAACAATTCTGAAATATAATTTAATAGGAATTAATTTAATTTAATTACAGTAACAGTACTTGTAACAGTACATGACATTTTTGTTTGTTTAATCACAAGAACCATGGTGGCACATGAGCTGGTAAGTTTGCCATAGGTTTCTTAGAAAATGCTATCTCAGTCTTCTGGTTGGAATGAAAAGAGACATGCCTGTGTACATGTTTACCCTTGCCAGATGTATTTTTTCCAGTCAGCCAATCCATTACTTTTGTTCACCTTATGTGGTCTATTTTATACATACAGGTACTGCTTCCAACCTGTTTTTTCTTTGTATGCAATCACAGTATCACAACTTCCTCAGCTGGTGTGTATAAAAGTTCCCCTGTCATCATGAAAAAAAAATTATAAAGGAAAGTCATATTTTCATTCAAAAACATATCTGTCTTTCCTTGAATACTCTTTGTCAAAGTGCCAGAAATGTCAGTGTCATAAAAAAAATAAAAAAAGATTTTCATAAGGACTTTTCTTAGATAGACCTAGATCTAAGTCAAACCATGTGACTAGTTAGGTAGAATTATAACCTTATAAGCCCTCATTTCTGAGGTGTCCATATTTTTCACATTTTTAGGACTAAAAGTGATCCGTGTAGATCTGCCTGTTTTGTTATGTAAAACAAATTCTTGTCTTTAAAAATGAGAAAAGGAATCATTCAGACGAAATTTTTTTATCCCATTGATTCACGAAAATCAGTTGAAATGTACAGTGGTGACTTTTGTACCCAAAATTTCTAGTAGTTTGTTACCCAAATGGGTATGTGATTTTGTAGATCTACCTAGAATTATTTCAAAGATATACATTAATTTGGTGTCTTAAACTTAACATAATATCACTTTCCTATCAAAACAATTCATTCTAACTTAGGTTTAACCAACTTAACTGGCCTCTCCTTCAGTGACAAGACGTCAATTTTCTCTCAAAACTAAACAATCAATTTCAAGGATCACAGTCATAATCATATTTGGAACTAGATGAAATATTTTATTATGTGTTCTGTTCATCTACATGAAAACATAAATATAATTATAGATCTTTTTGTCTTATTCTCTTAGGTACAAATTCACAAAGTATTTTGGGTACAATTTAATTTGTTTTGGGTACAAAATCACATATATAGGAGCCTAGAATCTATATATATTTACACTACCTCGTTGTGTACCAAAATTTTATCGGTTCAGAGGACGGGAGGTTCTCAGAAAGTTTTCAACAACATCTTTAATATTTAAATTGTTCTTTTTGTAATGTTAGACCAATAACAATATTATGTTATTATTATGGCATATCAATACGTTGTATCGCTCTCCGTTGCGTTCGTTTTTAGAAAATATTTTAAAATTAAAATCATCGAGCGTGAAATCCATTACGGTTTCGGATTAAGACTTACACATTTGAAGGCGACAATCACGAAGAAATATGAAACAAATAGGAGTGAAGACTGCTCTCCAGATCAATAAATAGTAAATTGTTGACGAAAAATAGTAAATTATGTATTTTCTTTTGAATTTGAATCTATTTCGGAGTTTCTTTATGATAGCTTACCAACTTTTGCATATTTTGCTTCAATGTGTCACATGCGGTACGTGCTTCCGGTTTCAGAAATGATAGCTAAAATTGCAAGTATTTTGATTATTTCTCGTAAAATGCATTATTTTGCTATTGAATGGTTTACCTAGAATGTATATCAGTTCAGATGTTGCGTATCATCCAATATTTGTCATTTTTCGCAGTGTTTGTTGACTTTGTTCAACTCAACAAATCGCGAGTTAGGCCACGCCCAAAAGAAATCATTTGCAAACTCTTTAAAAATGAAATTCTGTTGAAAAATGAAAATTAAGTTAGATGTAACAAAATGATTGTAATAGTCTAACGGGATAACTATGCATGTGGAGTTGTTTGTTTACCGCCGTTGCCATGATCGTACAAGTTCCATCCAATCGATGATGTTACGATTCAGATTGTTTTTGTTTACAATTAGTTACACCGAAAGTTGATAAATTTTAGAAATAAAGGAACATGAGTGTTTTCCTTTCGTCAGGAAACAAAAAATTATGATCGAATAGGAAAAATGATGAAATTATAAAGAAAATATCGGACTGCATGCCGCTCAACGTGAAGTGCCAACAATGGCTGTTTCTGGTAGTTGTGTGCCGAGAAGTTTGGCCGAAACTTTTTTAACTCCCGATATTTTTTTTGGGAGGTAAATAAATGACTGAACGATTTGATATTGAGCAAGCTGAGCATTTATGCATGTCATACGTAATTTAAATGTTACGCAAAGCCTTCTCGGTAAATAGATATGGCGAGTTTTATTTTGGGGTGTTGTTATGCTATTCGCCTGTCGAATGGGTTCGACATCAGATGCACGGGGATTGACACCTCTGTCGAATGGGTTCGACGTTAGCGTGCAGAGCTTTAACAAATCAAGAAAACTATCATCCTAACCCAAAGTTTACAAATATATAGTGAGTGAGTGAGTATGGTTTACGCTGCTTTTAGCAATATTCAAGCAATATCACGGTGGGGACACCAGAAAAGGGTTTCACACATTGTATGAATGGGTGATTAAGTCTATTCACAAAACCCTCGCATGTAAATCTTTGAGTCTCGCACAGTCTTGCGTGAAAGTGTGTTTGGTCTTACGCGTCAGTGAACAGTCTCCAATTAGCCCCGAGGCCTGTCCCTCAGTATATGGTCCCTGCTGGTATGAAATACATTTCACATTCAATCATGTTATTCAGGTAAGTTCAAGAAAATTTACAAATTTTGTGTTCGCTTAATCTTAACTTCTGAAAGTATGAAAAGGTTAGAATTTGTCTTTATCAACCCATGCTTGTCGGTGGTCAGGTTTGCCGATTGCATGGTTTTATGTTCCTGATGTCAATCATTGGATTGTCTAGTCTAGACAATCATCATATAGCTGGAAACTGCTGAGTGTGGCGTTGAACAACAAACTTACATTTTAGTGTCATGTCATATCACCACAAAAGGGATATATTATAAGGAAATAAAGGTGCTGCAAACCCAACAAAGACCTATTTTATTATCCCCTGCCACAAAGTGAGAGGGGCACATAGGAGTGGGTCCTGTCTGTCCATGAGTCTGTTCATCCATACAGCCATCACATTTAGTTTCCAGAGCATAACTTGGAAACCATTTAATATTTTATTACGAAACTATGCACATGTATCAAACAAATGCTGAACTGGTGCCTTTGGCTGTTTCTATGGCAACAAGTTGGACTTAACCAAAATTCAGGTTTCTTTCATTACCAGGGCGTACCTCTAAAACCAGATGGGTTATAGTGTTCATTTCTGGATCATATATCCATATTTCTTTTAATATATTTTCTATGAAACTTTATACCCATAATAACGAAGCACTGAAATTATGTGCTATGATGGATTTAAAAAAGAAGAAATCTACACGTTTGTCAGAGAACTGATACCATAATAACCTAATTGAGAGGTATACCACTTGACAAAGGAACTTGTACAAGGTATAAGTGAATTATTGTGAAGAAAAACACAAACCACAATTTACAAGTGGCATCCGAACCAGCCTACTTCCTCAGAGGGTTTAAATATTTTCACAGTGAAGTTTCAGTGAAGTTGTCAAGATTTAGTTTTAAAAAATTTATGCCATACAAAAAAGATTCTGGATTTCGCCTCCCTTTCTCCACATATATGCACTACTGTATGAACTAACAAATTTCTAATGTGCCCCATGGCAAGGGGATAGTGATAATGCTGTTTTCTTGGTATTAATGTAAATCCTATAAGAATATCACTGAAGTAGTTGGATAATCTTACTAAGTGCCCTTTCAATACAAAGTGTTCTCCTCACAGGCTGTTGCAACATGAAGAATTTTTCAAGAATACATAAGTTATAAATGAAGAATAGCCACAGAAGGATACACTGTGTTGGAAGTAAATAGTTCTGAGGGTTATAAATCATAGTGTATAAATGAAATATAACCACAGAAAGATACACTGTTATTAGAAGTAAACAGTTCTGAGAAAACAGGGTTATAAGTCACTATCTATAAATGAAGTATAGCCACAGAAAGATACACTGTTATTATAAATAAAGTTTCCTTACATTTAATTGACTCTAATAGCAGTCCAGTCAAACAAAAGCATGTAAAAACAGGACACATCAGCCAGAATGCACTTGCATAACACTGAATTTCCAGTGGCTTTAATTTTTCCCTGATCCCAGGTTTGATTTCCTAAACTTAAGTTGAGCTCGAACATCAAGTGAGCATGCTGGAGATTCATTGCAGTCTAAGGTTACCCATGTCAGACTGCAATAGCTGTAGACATTTTGGAAGAATGCAATATACAGCATGTTTTCAGAGGTAACATGTACATCAACAACAAAAACCTTGTATGAACTCTAAGGTAATGATGAAAAGAATTGAAAGGAGACAAATTACAAAGTAAACAAAATATCAGAAGTACACATGTACATACCTGTCCATACAGCCTTAAATCTAAATCCATTCCCATCATTCATATAATCTGTGGTAAACACAACACGGTAGTAGACGGCTGACTGAACAATGAAGCCCCGTCTGTCTCCACTTAGCTGGACAAGGAGGTTGTCAGAGGCGTCATAAACCTGCAGATTACAAATGGAGTAATTACATGTAAATCTACATCATGTAGGTCTAGGAAATGAAGATTTTTCTGGATTTATCTGTTTTTCTTTTTCGCTTGTTGTTTTACGCCGCACTCAGCAATAGCCCAGTTATATGACGGCGGTCTGTAAATAATTGAGTCTGGACAAGACAATCCAGTGATTGATAGCATGAGCATTGATCCACAAAATTGGGATACAATGACATGCATCAACCAAGTCAGCGAGCCTGACCACCCGATCCTGTTAGTCGCCTCTTACAACAAGCATGGGTTGCTGATAACCTATTCTAACCTGGATCTTCACAGGTCCTGAATTTATGTAACCATTATGAATACAAACAATTGGATATAAGTAGATTTCACAAAGAGCGTGATTTTCAAGAGAAGAAAAAAGGATATATTTTTTTATAGTCATTAATATTATTCTATCAATAGACATTGCATTATCAATGAATTGAACAAAGTGACAAAAAATACCAGTTTAATCATAATTGTTAATGAAATCAATTATTCATAAATGACAAACAAACCTAATAAATGTCCATACTGTTGCCAAACTGAAATTGTTTAACAGTTTAAGACAATGCAAATTAACTCTCTTTGTCAGTGCAAATAAATGAAGTTTGCATTTAAACAAGAAATAATACAAAAACCAACGAACATATACTTTTCTCTGAGAAGCTGGTTACATACATAACACCTTCCTGGTAACTATTCCCCTATCAAGACATAGAGATAATCATGCTTGTGTGTTTGGGGATGGTAAATATCCTGTATCATACATCCAAAGGCACACCAAAACACATGACAAGTTCAGTAACAGTGTGGGAGTTGAGTATTTTATCTTCAACAGAAATTTTTTAAATGCAAACACATTTCTCTATTTGAATGCAATATAAATTAAAAACAGCATGATAGTTTCTTTGATTTGAATATGTGATAATACTCCAATAAATGAAAAACAAAACTGTCATGCTTATTTTTAATAAAATTTGAAACAAAATGACCATAGTTGTCCAAACTGTTAGCTTGATTTAAAAAAAAGTTAACATAAGTTTGAAATTCATCTCTTTTCAAAATTGTATTCAGTACTAGGGCTGTTGCGATTCACTCGCGTAATCGAACCGTATCCATTCATGAACTGAATTCGTTATTCGTGGTCACTAGAATCGAATATTCATGAATATGCAGTCATGTGCATTTACATACCCTGACCCTTAAAATATCCATAAGAACATATTATATGCATAGATTTCTTGAGTGACAGTATTTTGGTCACTGGTCATTGTCGCATTTGAGCAGACACTAGTACCTGGATAAGTGAAGTATATTAATATATAATAAATTAATAATTTACAAGCCATGTCAAATAATTTATTTTGTTATTGTTTCACTGAATATCATAAATAATACATCAACTGCTGACTTGTTATTGTATTCGTGAATAAATATTCGTATTCGTAACCCTATATTCATTATACGAATCGCATTCATCTTATAGTGTATTCGTTGCAGCCCTATTCAGTACCTTTTTGAAAATGATAGAATTATGATAAATAAAACAACAACACTAAAACATATCATTAGTGATGGAAAAATTGATCGAATAATCAGGCAAATGATCGATCTTGAAAGTCAAAATGATTATCAATCTGCTGAAGGTATATACGATAAAGAATGTCAAATCAAAATTAAGTTAGTATACTGGTTACAATTTGAACAGTCCACATGAATTCACAGTTATACACAAATAAAAATACCAATAATAACTACAAATTCCTGTGTTAGGTCTCAAATGTGATGATAGCTTATAGACAATGAAGAGGACTTGCTGAAAATGTAAAGATTTTAGTGTGATTACAGCCAAAATAGAGGATTTCAGGCATTGATGTAATGGATGTAAGAGGTTTTGTATTTGTAAGAATTATTTCCAATGATAGCACACCTGTCCAGGAACGCGCCCAGATTACCTCTTCATGAGCATCCTGTTAGACAAAGGAGACTGCCCGAGCATTTTGATGACTACGTTTGATTTTTAATATCCCAGTGTGCCAAAACATTTATGTTGCAGTGTTTTCTTTTGTGTGATGGCGCAGAATAATCCCCAGAGACATGGACAGGATTATTGTATAACAGTCAGCTGTGAGTTCCACATGCCGGAATTTCGCCAGAAGTATAATAATGGCAAATGCTTATTGGCGGGTCAATCCACTAGTGAATTACCTCAAACAGATAGCCACATTCCAACCAATGTTAGTACTATGATGAATTGGTTTACTGTCAAACGTGAGAAAGACTTGGTATTGGAAGAATGTGCACTGTTTGCGCCGGGGGGTTGGTGGACACAAATATATGAAGTTTCAGCTTCATTAGTCCAGTGGGTTTCTAAGCAGAAGATGTTTACAGTGCTGGGAAATGCATTTTGAAATAATTTAGGAGCATGGTCAAAATGCAAAGATCCACTGACATGTTGCAAAATACGGACTAGCCCCACTACTAACTACACAAGTACTAATTTCATGACATTTTGATAGAAAATGTTTGAAAAACGGCCACAAATAGCATTTTCAATATGGCTGAAGTGGTGGCCATATTGCAAATTGAATTGGAACCTCTTGAAACAAATTGAGATGTCATTATTGGTGGGAACAAGTATGGGAAATTTCAGTCAGGTGACCTTAAAATTAGCTGATGAATACAGAGAAATATAAATCAACCATTGTGTGTCTCCATTACACCAAAACATTCATATTTCACTCTTGTTGACATCCATGTGAGTGCTATGGAATCAATGCACTCCAGCACATGGGGTAACATTCTATATATCCATTCACCAACATTGACAAACAATTAACATCATACTATTTTATTTGCGTAATCATAAACCTTTCAAAATTCTTACAGTTGATCACAGAATAGGCTCATTCATATCAGTATTGTATCAGTATTATGTCTTACTTGCTGTCAGTAAAACTATTTTCTAAAAGATACATTAATCTGGTACAGATACTTGCACACTTCATTCCATATTGGTTCTAATTGCTTAACAAAGAAAGCACACAATACCTAGTATACATTTAACAAAATAACAACTATACATACCTTGACAAAATCGCAACATGACTCCGTATTGAAATCTTCAAATACAAGAGTGACCAATGTCTCTCCTGCATCAATGGTGTAGACACAGTGCAGGTTGTTGTCATAATTGCCAGGGTAGTTAGGTGAGGAGATGGAGCCCAACGAGCCTGTGTAACGCCCACCGCATACTGAAGTAGATACAATAAGGTGTGTGTACATGGCTTGTTTATAATGCATCTTCTTATCTTATTTCTTAGAGAAATTTGTGAACTTAAAAACAAATGACTGTAGTGTGTGAATGAGCATAAATTAAAAAGTTGGTAAAATAACATAACATAATCACTTTTTAATGTGGAAAGATATTTCTCTACCAATTCAAGCAGAATTAAGAGTAAAGTAAAGAGTAAAGTATACGAGGTTGCTGAAAGATATAAACCTGTAACTGATGCAGAAAGCTTTTGTCCTTATATCACTAAATAAAGTGTATTGAGGATGAATTGCATGTCCTGCCTATGAGTGACAGATAAACTGCTCTCAGCAATTCCTACTTGGACAGACATCTTGTATCAAGTTCTGTTCAATGAAGTAAGGATATATGGATGAACAACTTCTTTATTACAATAGGAGCTACGTTTAGGTGTAGGTTCTAACACTGTTATCCAGTAAGTGATGCGACACATCACAGCAGACCCAGTGTTCGAAATAGCTGCCTGACGGCTATCCAATAGCTGGTAACCTTTCTGTAGGGATAGGTGAAATTCATTCCTACCTGCCAGACTCACTTACCTGCTATCTCTGTGATTATGAAGCTTTAAATCTGGGAAAAATTATTATCTACTGAGCATGTATTTACAAATGCCGATATACACTACTGCCTAAAAGTTCATTACCCTAACAAGCGTTGAGAACGTGTGTAACACGGATGTGACACGGGTTGCACAGGGGTTGAGCACCCGTTGCACACGCGTGTGCAATGGGTGTGCAGCACGTGTGCAACCCGTTGAGCACACGTGAGTCACTCTTTGCACACGCGTGTGCCACGCGTGTAACACGGGACTGGGTTTCAGTTGAAGTTGGAAAATATATCAAATGGATAAAGAGATAAATCAAAACAGTGAGATGTGAATCTTGAGTTAATGAGCGGCCATTGACCTGTGTTCAATGCAAATGCAAATATAACGTTTTTCGTTCGCCAAATTTTATGCTTTAGATAGTACAATTATGATAGAACAGTCATCACTGCTTATGTCTTATTATTTCATGTAGGAATATGTCCCATTTTCCCACACCCCACTTTCTGTTTGGTATTTTGTAGAATTATTAAGAGAAAGTTTTGTGTGGGACTTAACATTTATCACTAATTCTAAGAGGATATTGGAAATGAATATGAACAGCCATTTTGTCTCACTGTTGATAGAATTTTAGATCTTCACAATCACCGGGTGTGACCATGTAGACAGAATCTCGTTAGGGTTTGTGATTTTTACATTTGCCCAATGACCATGGTGAGTATTGTTGGGGATACCAAAGGTGACAGTTTACTATTAGAGGAAATTGGTTGTGAGTACTTATTTGGATAGGATATCTTTAGGATTTTAATACTTTCTTTCTCTGTGGGTAATCCTTTCACTTTGATGGAAGGAAGTCACTCAACCAGGTCATGACAATGGTTGTGCGCAAGGCTCGGAATCGCGAAAAGTTCACTGGAGGTGTTGTTGGAGGCTGGACATGCAGCATACAGCATTTCCAGTGTAGGCTGGCACCTCGTCTTTGTTTCACTCGGTATGTAAAACCTTGACCATTCACAGGTGCATTTGTCTATTTACAATGAAGTTGTTTAGCGTTACCAGTATTTCTATACTATCTCATTGATTACTTGTTAATTTGTCACTGCAAGTGCCTTAATTATTTAAATTTCAGTGAACTGACTTTAGACAGGTCGTCGATATATAACAATCGCTATGGTCCTGTTAAGACGATTGACAGTTAGAACGTTGGAGTAAATGACCCTATATTGTAGGGTCAATCGCTTTTGACATGTTTAAACTCACTTTAAGGCAAGTCAAAGCTGGCCGCCCTGATTACGTTCTTATGTTTGACAGCAACTATGCCCATGGATTTCAGAGAAAGATATGATCTTTACCTTGATGTTATTACAATAAGCGAAAATATCTTCAAAGTCCACAGTTTGTTTAATAGTACAAAAATAAGAGTGTTAAAAATCAACATTTTCTTTTATTGAACACAATATTTGAACTGTATTGCTGTAAATAATCTAGCCTGCTGCCTATGTAACTTAAACGTATTTATGTATGATCTTCATATGCCTCGTAGTATGACCTCTATTATCCCTGCTGAGGGCTATCATAATGTTCAATTTCAGTCTGGCACTCCAAGCGTGAATAAGCAGTATACATGTGTTGATAAACCACACTGACGCATATACATTTTTTTAGATATGAAACATTCTTGAGGGGTGGGGGGTGGGTGTGTCTCAGCCCCTCCATTTGTACAATTTTGAATCCTCACCACCGGAGAATGCTTCAAACCAAATATGGTTGATATCTATTTTTTAGTTCCAGAGAAGAAGTCGTTTAAAGCAATATAGCCATATTACCCGTATTTGACCCCGTCCCTCAGACCCTTGGGGGGTCAGCCCAACCATTTGTACAATTTTGAATCCCCACCACCTAGGGATGCTCCCAACCAAATATGGTTGATATCTATTTCTTAGTTCCAGAGAAGAAGTCGTTTAAAGCAATATAGCCATATTACCTGTATTTGGCCCCGTCCCTCAGACCCTTGGGGGGGTCAGCCCCACCATTTGTACAATTTTGAATCCCCACCACCTAGGGATGCTCCCAACCAAATATGGTTGATATCTATTTCTTAGTTCCAGAGAAGAAGTAGTTTAAAGCAATATAGCCAAATTACCTCTATTTGGCCCCGCCCCTCACCCCCTTTGGGGTCAGCCCCACCATTTGTACAATTTTGAATCCCCACTACCTAGGGATGCTTCCAGTCAAATTTAATATCCAATTAGTGGTTCGGAAGAAGAAGTCGTTAGAATAAATTGTTGACGTACGGACAAAGGACAGACAGACGACGGACACCACGGTATGGCCTTCGGACCCAGTGAGCTAACAATAAGGATGGCGGCGCTTAGATTTGGAGGGGAAGCCTGCTCAACCTACAACCAAAAATTCCAACACAGAATGTCAAGAGACCCCTCACACTGCTTGTACAACATTGACGGGGAGCTTCAGCTGAAGTACATGGTCAGCAGCCAGTATAACAACCAGTCAGGCGGTCGGGGCACAATGACACAGGGGGACATCGCCAGTAAGGTATGCTGGGACTTTAAGAAGTTTGGTTGTAGCAGGCACAACTGTAAGTACTCTCACAAATGTGGAAAGTGAAACAGAAATTCTCACAGCTCCTGGACCTGCTTTCGACGGAATGGGGTCGAACAGACCCCAAACAAGGCCAACCAAACTATCCCTGACAGCAAACCACTCGCCAGGAAAGGTAAATTCGATGGCCCATACCCGTAGATCTCAATGTAATGGCACCCTGGTTACACCAATATGCTAAGGTCAATTATAGAGATGCAGATTACTTGTAGGTAGGTTTTAGTTTTGGTTTCAAACTTGAGTTTCAGGGTAGCCACACGAGCCGCCTTGCACGAAACTTGCGATCAGCGATTCACCAAGACACGGCAGGCTACGTACGTCAAACAAAAGCTACAAAAGGAAGTGGACCTTGGCAGGATGGCGGGGCCCTTCAAGGACATCCCCCTGGACAACCTCCAAGTATCCCCAATAGGTCTGGTGCCAAAGAAGCAGCCAGGCTACGTTGAACACTCAGGTAAGCACACAGACGAATTCCAACTAATTCACCATTTATCCTTACCCAAGATCAAATCTTTAAATGACTTTATAGACGCAGAAGCCAACTCCGTGGTGTATGCCAGATTGGATGAAGCTATTCACATGGTTCAAAAACTAACTCGGAAAGGGGGCATTACTATCAAAATTTGACATTAAGTCAGCCTTTAGAATTATACCAGTCCACCCATCCAATTTCGATCTTGTTGGCATAAGACATGAAGGTGAGTTCTATTTCGATAAATGCTTACCATTTGGCTGCTCCATATCTTGTGCCATATTTGAAACATTTAGTACCTTCTTGCAATGGTTCATGCAATCCCACTTCCCAATGCGCCAGATTATGCACTACCTGGACAGTTCTTAGACAACCTTAACAGATGTGTACATACAATGGAACAGTTTGGGGTCCCTATTGCCCACAACAAGACTGTCTGCCCCACTACACAACTGACAATCTTAGTCAAAGATCAAGGAGGTGACAGCGGAAATCCAAGACATCCTGTCGACTGATAACATAAAGGTCACAAAAAGGGCCCTTCAGTTCCTCATAGGCAAGCTTAACTTTATGTGCAGAGCTATACCAATGGCAAGGGCATTCAGCCGTAGGCTTATTGATCTGCTCAGCAAAAGTAAACAACCATTTTACCACATTAAGATTACCAACTGGGTCAAGGAAGACTTACAAATGTGGTTAACATTTCTCACCAGTTGTAATGGCATTTCAGTGTTTCAGGATCAACTGTGGGTAGACAGCCATTTGCTTCAGCTGTTTACAGATGCAGCCGCTGGGGCTGGCTTTGGGGCCTACCTGCAGGGAAATGGTTTAGTGGCAGATGGCCAAACCAGTGGGTGACGGGTGGAACTACATGCGACTTGCCACTACTGGAGCTATTCCCCATCTCACTGGCAATCCAATTTGGGGGCAAGCAACTAGCAAACGAAAAGGTCCTCTTCTTCTGCGACAACCAAGCCGTCGTCGCAATCATCAACGAACAGTCTATCAAAGACCCAAGAGTGATGATCCTACTCCGCTACCTAATCCTGCAGTGCCTCCAGTATAATATTCTGTTTAAGGCAGAGAATGTCTGTACCGAAGCTAACACTATTGCCACTATTTCCCTCATCTCAAAAACATTATCAGCTGATCAACGCAATCATGTAACACCGGAAATACCAAATCTGAACTGAAGTATGCAAGTTAATCCTATTACTATAATATCTGGTTATAAAAAGGTGTTCATTGTTTATCTGGACTAATGTTTGCAATATAGTTATTAATTTTATTCATAATTTCATTC